TAGAGAAGAGAATTGAGTGTCTTCAAAATATGTGGCAGTGATTGTGAGAAATGTGAAACAGTTCAGACAAAGACTACCTCTTTGGTCACTAAAACTGCACTTCTAATTGCAAACCTTTATTTATCCATGTGTATTTGCGATAATTAGATATTATATAATTGCAGTTTGAATTTCATAAGGATTTCTTCTAATGCACTTCATTTTTGAATTGTCTTTATGTGACTTTGAGGAGCAGAAATGTTGTGTCTATTCAAGGAAGTTATAGTGTGGCTGTAAGGAGGAGAGGAAACAGTTCCCAATCCGTGTGTGTGCACGGAGGTTCTTTGCACGGTGTGCAAAGGTGTTCTTGTGGAGATTAGCAATGCCAACACCACTCATATTGGGAGGTTCTGCAGGAACTTCTGAGACTGATGCACTCAGGTAAGCCCTGTGTTGTGCAGCAGCATCTCTGTGAGCAGCTATTGTCCAATGTCCAGCTGCAGAACACTCACAAAGCAGGAGGTGCCTGTAGGGCTGGCTTTCCTGTTAGCATTGCAGGGGAGTTAGTTACAGCCTGAGGGTTTGGCTCCTTAGATGTACCTGTGAGGGTATGCGCACCTTCCTCCCACATCTGGAGAGGCTCAGCTCTGACACACTCAGCTAATGTAGCTGGTGGTGGTGTCTGTGAAGCTCTTGTGGCAGCCTCTGAGTGAAGGAAGGTTGAAAAAATGGTACTAGTGTAATTACAGTGGGGCATGTGGACACGGGACAAAAATACGAGTCCCTCCATGTTCTCCAGCTGCAGAATCTTTGTCCATGTGGCCTCTGGGCCATTGGCTGATAATAAGCACCAGGGGCTGATAAAGTCTGATCATACTGGGTCTTTTGATCATCTTGACAGTTGATACCACAGAATCATCAAATTGCAGTCTACCTTGGTCTTACACGGAGTACTCACAGGTGGAAAGCACTTCCTTGCCCTAGTTTCATTCTCCAGATGCTTAGAATCGGAGAACTTTAAGACATGTAATTAGATTGTGTAAAGAATTGTGGGAAATTCCTGAAATAGTGACGTGTAAGATAAAACTACAATTAAATGTGATCAAGCATTCACATCCTTCTTGCATGAGTAGTTTGGATATTACTTGCATCACAGCAGGAAATGGTCTCCCCTTTATCCCTCTCATTTTTTCCATTATGTTTCATCTCATGTAAATATTCTTCTGGAAAATAAGCTATTTTCTTTCAAGTGCTTACTGCCACTCAGATTTAGCTGTAACCTCCATATGCATCTAATCATCACTCTTGAAGACAAATGAGGGGAAATTTTAGCAACCAATTGATCCAGAGCAATTGTACAACTTACTTACACAGAATATATGTAGGTGGACTAGAATGAATACCAAAATTTATTTCTTAGCATAGCTAATCCTCTGGACCCTGTAAAGAGATTGTGGTATTACCAACAGGATTTACTTTTGTTTTTGCTATTAAGAGCAAGTATAAACAGAGTCACCACTGATAATCTGAGGCAGGTGAAGATAAATGTGAGTGAAGTTCATTAACCAGTTTACCATCTCTGGAAGTGATACGAGATGAATAATTTGGGGGTTTTTTACCATGAATTCTGCAAATGTTGCTTTTTGGTTATTTGATTTAGATAGTGCAGTTATCAAAAATAAATGCTGAGCATCCCAGATACAGCACCATAAGAAGATTTGGGATGGAAAGCAGGTGTTTGAGTGTAGTCCAATTTCATTTGGGATAAAGAAGTTGTAGATTCAGGTGGCTGTCTATAATATTTTTGTTTGTTTGGGGTTTGTTTTGGTTTTGGTGGGGGTTTTTGTTTGGTGTTTTGTTTTGAATTGTTGTGGGTTTTTTGTTTGTTTGTTTGGTTTTGGTTTTTTGTTGGTTTTTTGTTGTTGTTGTTGAATGGAGATCTCACTTCAAGATTAAGTATTAAATATTGGTGGAGTTTGTGGATAGCTGGCCACAAACCAGATTTTCAGTGTGACCTTCAGTACTACAGGCAGTGGAGGGGGAGGTGCTGGTCTCCTCTCTCTGGGGACTGGAGATAGGACACAAGGAAATGGGAGGAAGCTGCAACTGGTAGTGTTCAGATTGGACATCAGGACAAGGTTCTTCACTGAGAGGGTGGTCGGTCACCAGAGCATGCTCCTCAGGGAAGCAGTCCCCAAGTCAAGAGTTAAAGGATTGGATGACACCATTATTTGGTGTATTTTCAGGTAGTTCCATGAAGAGAAGGGAGTTGGACTTTGTGAGTATTACAGATCTCTTCGAACATGTGATATTCCGTGAGTTGCTAGAAGAAGAAAGGATCTCTCCCCTGATGTGAAAGAGCTCCTTGCTTAGAGGTGGATAGTCTGCCAAAGTCCTCGGCAATGCTGAGGAACTCCCAGGAAAGTAAAACTAGGAGGTGAATCTTGATGTTCACTGCCTGATTTCCCAAATGAATGTGAAAACACCATCAATGAAATTTAAATATTTTTCTGAAGAATTAAGCCTGTCAAATAATTAATTTCTAATCACTGTGTACAATTAGAAGGGGCTTCAGACATAGAGATCAGGGTTTACTTCCTTGTGATTTAGATCCTTCAACATAATATAGAAATTTTCTGCAATTTTTCTCTTTAGAATGAATCTTTAGTGTTTATCACGGAAGTGATAAGTAAGCCAAAGAGTAGAAGACATAAATGAGAGAGGTTTGCAAGAAGAGGAATGTAAAGCCTTTTTCAGCTGTGTTTTGGCTAATTGCTAATTTGGCTAATTAAATGCCTATATCTTTGTATTAGTTGGCTGGATTTCTGAAAAAAAAAAAAAGTTAAAGAAAGTTATAAATATTATTCTTAAAATTAGTGAAGGGTTTGACCAATATAGAGTTTGCATACTAAAAAAAGGACTGTATTTATGAAACATATGTATCATACCTCACCATATCCACTGAGGACACAGACTGGATAAAACTCTGCATTCGTAGTTAGCTTAAAGCAGCCAAGTTTTGGCTGGCACTGGGTTGGTGAACCTTCCATGTGTGACACCTACACTAAATCTGAACACTGGTGAGCAAAAGAAGAATTCTATGATGTACTGATCCAGGAAATGGGTGTATAACTGCACTGTGTATCTGCTGCTGAATGGTGTAATGTATACCCAATGTCATGAATTCTCACAGAAATACTGACAGAAGCAGCTGTGAAATAGTGTGCCAGTGGGGAAAGTTTGGTCCAGCTGAAACAACTGTAGGGATTGGCTGCAGCCTGAAATGTAAGAATTTATAACTTTTGTAAGAAGATTGAAGCACCATATTTTAATACTGATTTTTTTTTTCGTTGCTATAAATAGCACTTTTTCATTTTCTTTACCCAACTCACCCATGGTCTTTTTGACATCCCATACAAGAGTTTTATAAGCTAATTTTGCACTGTTTCAGCAGCTGCTTCAGGACTTAATGGATGCTTTGAGGTAGTATTGCATCTTGCCCGTAGTACCCGACAGCAGTATAAGCAGGACAGCACAAAACTTACTTGCCACTTTCTCCTCAAAGTTACTATATATTACTTCCACATGCAATACTCTTCTGTTATCTTGTTGGACTGTCATTTTGGCTGTTTTCATATTATAGAAACAAACTCTGAGACACTGAATTTTCTCTATCTATCCTCTAATTGGTTCCTTTAATAAGATTATATATTTAAGTAAGATAAACCCTACAGAGAAATCGAGCCAGGAGCTCCGGCATTCCCTGTCGGGCGGCTCCAGGGAGCCAGGCAGCCGCTGCCGAGCCGCTGTGCCCGGAGCACGGTCCTTCCCGCGGGGAGCGTGTATGGCAGAAGGCAGCCCGGCGGGTGGAAACGCTCCTAAGAGCAGAAATGGAGGTGCCAGGTGTCCTGGCTGTTGTCGGTGCAAGCAGTGCAATTAAAATTGATCTGCATAATGGTTCTAAGATATTTTGTTTGTTCTTTTAATCTTTGAGACTACAGTGAGCAGCAGCTTTCAGTGGCATTATCTGTGATGCCACCTCCTCCTTTATTATATGTTTACAGCTGGTACAAGCCTTGCAGTGGGTAGTTAGATTTCGTATTCTCTTGCCTGGACCGGTAGCGAGCTGCGACTGCCGCTGCCCTGCCATCCCTCCTCCTCTCTCCGCTCACCTCAGCTGCGTGCCATGGCCGCCCTTGCTATCGCCCCTTCCGAAAGCTGCGGGCAAAGAGGTGCCTCAGGCGACCACCACTCTTGTTCCATTTTCGTAAAGAAATGTAGTTAAGGAAGGTGAGGTACGCCGTGCTGAGAGGCAGCGCTGCTGCTCTTGGCTCCCCGGTAGGTGGGAGTGTAGAATTGGGTTGCAGATGCAGCCAGTCCCTCCGCTGAGGGAGAATTGTTCTCGCGTTTCAGGCAACGGACATCGTGGGGACTCCTTGACACCTCGGCCTCTTGCTTAGTCCAGGAGAGCATGCTGTAACGTGAAAGGAATGATTCTGCTTTGTAATCCTTTCCTACGCTCGTTGTTAAAAAAGCGGGGAGAGAGTAGGAATTTAAGAAGGGAATAAAAGATGTCATAGAGAAGGAAATGAAGGTTTGCTCAGAAAATGAGCACGTAAAGGAGGAGAGAGGGGCTGACGGCGGTATGGGCAGGGAGGGAGGGAAAACGCCCCGGCTGCCTCCCCGGAGAGCCCCCGCCCTCACCCGCAGCTGTCAGTGAAGGCAAGTTTTGCGGCGGGGGTTCTCTCAGCCCCGGAGCGGTGCGGTACCGGGGCGGCCCTACGGGGCGGGGGCGACTGCGGAATCCCTGCGGCGGTGCCCGGGCTCCGGGGCTTCCCCTCCGGTCTCGCCCCGCTCCCTCCCGCCCTGGCAAACGACTACATTTCCCAGCACTTCCCTCTCCCAAGCGGGCTCTGCGGGGAGCCTCGCCGGCTCTCGCCATCTCCTTCGCTGGCAGGGGGCTCGGCGCGGCGGCGGGGCGGAGCTCGGCAGCCCCGGCCCCGCGGCAGCCGCGGCCCCGCAGCCCCCCCGCCCGTGCAGGCGCGGAGCCGGCGGCGCTCGGCGGCGAGCGGGGCGGCGGGCAGCGCCATGCGGGCTGCCGCCTGCCTCCTCTGCCTGGCGCTCGGCGCCCTGACAGCGGCCCCAGGTGAGTCGCGGTGGCGGGGCAGCGCCGCCGCGCTTGGGGCGCGGGCGGCGGGGAATGGGGGGGACGCTGCGCCGAGGCTGCTGCGGAGCCCCATGGAAACGGAGCCGCCGCTCCAGCCTGCGCGCCGGGGGCGAGGGCGCAGCCGGGTGACAGTGCCTCTCCCCTGCGCAGGAGGCGCCGGGCCGGCGAAGGCGGCAGCGGGGCGGCGGGGCGAGAGCCCCTTCGCGGAGCGAGAGAGCATCAGGCCCCTGCGGCTGGTCTCCGGCGAGGGCGGCGGCGGGGCGCGGTGGCCGGCGCTGAGCACGCGGGTGCGGAGCGAGGCGGCGCGGGCACAGGTAAGCGCCGGCGGGGGGAGCGGGGCCCCGCAGCAGGGCCGGCCGTGCGGAGCCTCCCCGCACCCGCACCAAGGGTGTTCGCACCGCCGGAGGATAACGCTGGGTGCAAAGCGACGCTCGGCCCGACGCGCGGCTCGGCTTCCCGCAGGAGCGCGGGGAGTGCCAGTCCTGTGCAAGGGCGCTCGAATTAGTTAAGATGGTCCCCCGGCGTGTTAATGCCCTCCCCCGGCCGGCAGCCGGGCCCGGGCGGGCACAGCCCGCTGCCTGCGGCGGCCGGGGCACCCAAAATGAAAGTTGCGGTGCCTTTGCGGCAGCGGGGCTCGAAACGCTGCGGCTTAATTTCGGCTTGTGGCTGAAGCGTGGGCAGGGTGGGTTTGTGTTCTGTGGACTCGGATGTGTTTTTAAAAATAGAAATTGTACATCGGAAGGGAATTGCTTGAAATGTAACATGTGAGCTAAGCACAGGATTTAACGTACATATTGCCTGCTACCCAACCCGGGGTATATTTTCAAATTCCATAGAATCATAGAATCATTGAGATTGGGAGAGACCTCTAAGATCATCGAGTCCAGCCATTAATCTGGCTCTATCTGTGTTAAAAAACCATATTTTGATTATATGAAGCCAAATCCCTATAACTTTTAACAACCTCATTTTGTATTAAAATACAGTGATTTTCATCTTGACCCCTTTTGTTTGAGGTGGTATGTGGCTGTTACATCTGAAGGAAAGAAACATTAAGTCCATGTTGTTACAGATGTAGAACATAAAATCTGAGCATTTGAGATAACTGCTGACATACAAGATGAGTTGCAGGCCTCCGTTTTCTCCTTTTCTAATTGACTACTGTGTGTTTAAGAAAAAAAATAGGTGAAAACTTGTCTCATATTTCTTTTTTTATAATCCATGAAGTTTAAGAACCGACAACTTGCATTCTCTTTGTTTTGTTAAATAATAAACAAAGTCTTCATAGCATATGTATTTGCCTCTGAATGTAACTTACTCTACATAAAGATTTTTCAGATATGAAGACAATATTTACAGTAAAATAAAATACTGTTCTCAAAGTTCATAATGCTTTGTTCAAAGAAGAAAAAAAAAAACTCCTTTAGGCATTTCAGGATTCTTCGAAGACCCCCAAGAAGTCACAAGTTCAAACACTTTGTGACATGTCTGTTTTAAACTTAGTAATGGTTGCATTTAGCTTTAATGTTAGGCTTAAGGTACTGGTCTTACAGAACAAACTGCTAATTAATGGGTTTTGTTTCTCTGAATGTCTCAGCTTTTATTCACCAAATCTTATGCTCATAAAATTTTCAAGTCATCCTGATCTAGTTAAGTTGTTAGTATGAATATTAGTCTAAGCAGATAAAAAGTAGTAATACGGATGGTTTGAAAAGGGTTGAATATGTTTATTTCACAACAACCTCCACAGTAAACTAAAGTTAATGTGTAAAAGCTCTGATGTAAATGTGAAAGCTACTACAACTTTTCTTCCTGATCAAGTTTCCCCACTGCTGCTTAAAATATTCCCAACCTCTTCCATGGCATCTGATGGTTGTTACTCATGGAAGGATACAGTAGCTGACAGTGCTTTGGACAAAAAAATTTGCCAAGCAGGCCAAACCGAGCGAAGCAGTACAGACTTTCTGTGATTCTGGCACAGAGCATGGTTACATCCTAATTGCAGGATATTGCATCCCCTGCCCAGGGATCTGAGTCAGCTCGCCGGTAATGGACCAGCAGCGTGGCTGACTTTGCTTAGCTGAAGTTGTGTAGGAGCTGCGTTCAGGAAGGTGCTTATCAAAGTTGGGCTGACTTCACAGGGTGGACTTCTATGGTGCTTTTGGGTGTCTGGTGAACGTCACATGAAACATAAAGATGATAGATTCTTCTTGTACGTGAAGAGACACCCATGCCTGCCTGCCCTGAAGAGTTAACAGCCAGTGGCATATAAAGAGTAGGGGAACAGAGGTGTTCTCTACATCAATAACATTTCCATATATATTTGGTTGTTTTATGATTAAATACACTCTTACTGTCTCCATGTTCTATCCATTGCTAATAGTCTTTGAATAGCTGTATTTGAGAGTTTAAAAAGCTGGTCTTGAATAGAGATTTCAAACCAAACCTAACAGCCTTCTGGATTAGTTAAGGGAGCATGCTTCTTTGAGGAGGTAAAAGCATTCGAGAACAATCCCTGGTGAGCGAAGGACTAGCAACCATATCTAGAAAAACAAAGATACCTGAATGGGAAGGTGCATTCAGAGGACTAGCCAACAAGGCTGTAGTTGAATTAATGTAAGACAATGTAGTTGTGTTTTGAATCGGATTAAGATAAAAGGGGTGAGGGGGGAGAGAGAGATAAGCTGGAGAGAAGGAAGTTGCATTAAATCGGATTGGATTCCTTTAATTCCTGGATGAAAGCTTTAGCTACAGAAAGGGCAGAAGTTGAACAAGAAGGATGCAAGCCTGAGTTCAGAACTGCACAAAGGGAAATGAAGATGATCATGCAGAGGAATGCAGAAGAAAAGCGTGGTCTTTGCAGATCAGGAGTTTTAGAACAGGCTCATGATGGAGCTGAGCCAGGGGATAATACGAGTAAAGGGGGTGAGAGGAGATAATTGAAGGCAGAAGTGACTGGGATGTGATGGATGGTGGATTTCTAAAAAGTAGTGGTTTGTTTTCCATATTTATTGAGATTTTTCTCTAGCAACATCCCGTGTTTTGTTTCTTATGGGGTTTTTGGGCCACTGCCATCAGAATTGAGTGACTTCTCTACCTACATTCTTTACTATTAAATAGTAAAGGAAATAGTCTATATACTCATCTTCGAACCCCAGAATGTAATTGCTTAAAAAACATAATTAATGTGCTCACAATTGTAGTTGTCCAAGATTGCTGAACCTCAGAACACAGCACAAGGCAAATGTTGTAAGCTATTATATCTTCTTGTCATTAATGTTTTAATGTACAATATATAGTGGACATTGGAGAATTCACATGACTTTGGGTTTTTGTTTTTAATTCCATTGCAGAATGGAGTCATTGCTGCTATCTGTGACACTCCTGTATTTCAATTTCTCTGTTCCACAAGGGGCGCCTGTTAGGAGCTGCACAGCACTTAGTGTATAGAATAATCAAGATAAGATATAGCTAAAAATACACTAATATTATATTATCATTAATGCAATCCAGGATCTTAGCAATGGACACCTAATTTACTATTGCATAAATAAGTGTGTTAGAAGATGAGAGTCGTCTGTGTCAGGGGTGTTCAGTGAAGGCTGCTCTAATATTTTTGTTTTTAAAAGAAGGAAAGTTCCCCCCTTGGACATTTTAAGGAACCTTTTAACTTCATTCCTTAAGCCATATTTTGGTATTGTAAGAAGCACATGAGAAGCCACAAGTTTCGCAATATTTTCCTTTAGTCAATACTGTGCAGGCATGTTCTTTATTAAAATGTGTGAATGTGTAAGCATCTGTCCCCACTGCCTGTGTTACCATTATCCATTTTTAATACATTTAAGTGTTACATGGGAATTTATGAGATTTGCCATGATTTTCAGTGGGAACAAGGTTCTGACCTGCTATGGACAGAGATTCACTCATCTCTGCTGATTGTGCAGGACATCCATGATATAGCAATTATCAAGCTGTTTTTCACTTGCTCATTGCCTGTTGCCATTAAGGCACATTGGATTCCTTCAAAGAGAGTGAAAAGGATGACCTGGTTCTAGGGAGAGCCTGAAGGGGCTCCAGGACTGAGCTGCATCTGGAGACAAAAGTGCATGCTGTTTGTAGTCCAGAGTGAGTCAGTAGCTTTCAGTAAAGGACTTACTTGTCTTCCACAGCCTGCATTGTTTTTGCCCAAATGATACAATTGCACACACCTATTTGGAATTGTGGCTTGCAGATTTCTTAAATGATTTCTTCTTGTTAATAATGAGTTTCAGAGAAGCTGTGCTCTGTCATGCTGAGTTTGCATGCTCTGCTTGCTCTTGGATTTGAAATCTTCATTAGTTATTTGAGTGTTGCCTAGTCTTTGCTATTGGATTCTCTGATTTCTTGTCGTCTCGCTCTAGTCTTCAAACAGGATATCCCACTTCTTTGCAGGTGCTTCTGAAATTGCTGACTCTTGTTTTCTGTTCTGATGCTGTCAGTTTCTGTTGGTATTGTAAGTTACTGTGTTGGGTAGCTCAATGAATAGTAATTTTTTTTTCTTTAAAAAAAGAGCTCTGACTTTTGAGTGGCTTATAAAATATCTCTAGAGTTTGGAACTGATGGATGGTGACTGTTGGAAAAGAGAAGTGTCATGAGAAAGTGCTTGATTAAAAAAACTATTTTCTGCCGACTTAATCAAACGACTTCTGTCTCTTGAAGAAACTTAGGCACAATTTTTGATCATCCTAACAGAAAACCAAAGGGAAAGGGACTATATTGAGTAATAACATGCATTTGGTTTATTGCTGAATTTGGGTTTCTTCCTTGTTGCCTTTTAAGGTTTGTGAGGCATTAGGCAAAATTTGTGTCATACTTTACTGTATATTCAGTGTATGCAGTTCTGCAATAAGATACTTCACCAACATGGCAATATTTTATGAATATGTGAATGATGGTTGAAATATTAATACTTTAGATGCAGGTCTTGCCTTCCTGAAGAAGAAAAAACTGCTGAAAGCTAAACTTAGCTGTAGATTGTTCGTTGAATGATGTAAGGGCATTGAGGGTGTCCTTTGATTTCTGAGGTGCACCTTTTTATAAAGTACTCAAAGAGTGTTTTGGCATTTTATAGGCAAAGAATATTTCAAATTCCTAATTTATCCTTCTTTGCAAGCTCATATCAGGAAAAGTCTTTCCCTGCTTGATAATGGGATTTGTTGTGACAGTAAGTATAAGTAAAAAAAAAAAATCTCTGGTAGCTGCTGCTTCAGAGTTCATGCTGTTTTGTGTCATCTTCTCATGCTTGTGCCATAGCAGACTGGAAAGGAGAGCTATT